CGCACCCTCCATGGGACTCGCCGAATACCTCACGGCGCTTCGCGCTTGGTGATGTGAGACCCTGGTCCGGTGAGAACCCGGCGTGCTCCGCCCCGTCTTTGTAGGGATGCGAGGTCAATGGTCTAACGACTACGGCATGCACGACTATGAGTCCCCCCCCCCCCGTCGCCCCGCCGTGGTGGCTTACGTAGGTCCAGCCGTATGCTCGCACGTTAATGTGCCGCGCTTCTATTGCCACTGCGTTCTTCTCCGCTCACTGGTCGGCACCGCCTTTTTCTACCGGGTGTCCCGTTTTTCGAGATAAAAGTCACGCCTTGACGGTTTCGGCCCATGTACATATTCGCCGTTTCTCTTCCCTTTGTCTCTCTTTCTCTCTGTCTCTCTCTCTCTGTCGACTCATCGGCAGAGTCCTGGTTGCTGCGTTAGCCGCAACCGACCACACACCCTGTAGATAGCGGGGGGTTCCAACACCCCTCGATGCTCTCGCTTGTGGCTATTTGAGTCTAATGGTGACCCCCCCCCCCCCTGTGTATCTACTCCCTCCCAGCGATGAACTCATGCTGCCTTACGCCACGAGTGCTTGCGGCCGCGCGGTCTGGATGGTCTTCCTGTTGGTCGGGCTGGCCCTGGCCTCCGGCATGCTCCTGGGCGGCGACTGTCACGACGTCGGCTACGTGGTGTTCGTGTACGAGGCCCTGTCCATCGTCGCCGGCATCCTCTCGCTCGTCGTGGAGTGCCAGATCGCTACGGCGGCCACGTACGGGACCATCATCGGTGAGAGCTTGTATCTATAGAGGCGTGGGAGGCGGGGCGGGGGCGGGGGGGGGCATCATCGGTGAGGAGCTTGTGTGGAAAGGAAGGGGGGGGGGGGGCGGGACCATCATGGTGAGAGCTTGTATCTGTTGCGGCGTTGGAGGGGGGGAGGGGATCATTTGCATGCCTTCAGGCGGTTAGATCATGAGCACGGGGGAGGCTACTGGCAGCGTGGGACGGGGGGGGGTACTTGTGTTTTGCATGCATTGGTTAGACCATTGACCACGGGGGGGGAAGTACACAGGAAAGTGAAAGGTGAAGCTTTTTCTACTCTACCAGACCTCGAATCCGTACCGCAAGGCTCAGGCGGAGCGGGTCGTGTTTTGTTGTTGGTGGTGGTGCTGAGTAAATAGCTCCTTTCTGAACAAGACGACGGTGTTTCTGATGGCGTGTTGTTGTCTTGCCCAACACTGAGCATGGCACCCCCTGGGTGAAGTCACATCCCATCAGTAACAATTTTGTTGGCGCTCTTTTTTTCGTATTTGAGGATGTATCGTGCAGCAGTGCTCCCCCCCTCCGCCGCCCCCGATCGACTTCACATGCGCAGCCGTGCTCAAGCACTATTTTACTACTTGAGAGGATTCGATGATGTATGTGTATAACTTTGTTGTCCCCCCACCCCATCCGCGCAGACCCCGGGCCCCGCAACAAGCTGTTGGAGAGGCACCTCTCCCGGAAGACCGCGCTAGGGGTTACGCAGCTGGTACTCGCGCTTTTCGGCACGTTCCTCATCTTCTACGTGCCCTTCGCGTACGCGTGCAGAGGCGACAGCTCCATAGCGCTAGTCACGGTGAGAGAGGGAGTGGGGACGGCGGGGGGCGGTCCGCGCGGGGGTTGCCGTGGTTTGGTTGGCGGTATGGTATGCGTAGCTCTTGTAGCTCTTGGGGTGCCGTCTCCGCCACGTTCCTTGTTAGTGTTATTAGTTTTGCCTGCTGTTGTTGGTGGTGGTGGTGCTTCTGCCGCTGCTATGGCTGTTGTTGTTGTGGTGGTGTTGTTGTCATCGTCGTTGTCGCTGATGATGTTTTTTTGGCATTTCCCGTTGTTGTTGTTGTTGTTGTTGTCGTGGTCGTTGTCGTCGCTCATACTTTATTGTTGACCTCTCCTGTTGTTATTGATCGTGTTGCCACTTGTGCCGGAGCAATTGTTTGACCCTTGATACCTTCGTTGATTTTGGTACTGCTGATCTCTTTGTGGACCCCTCGCCGACCTCGGACCGGGCGGTGCGGTGCGGCCGGCGTCTTACACGCGTGGCGTGAACCGATCGGTCGGGGCGGGGGGGGGGGGGGGGGGGGCCAAAAGGAAACTTTTTTGCCCCCATTTTCCCAAACCCAAAACGGGGGGGGGTGTTCTGGGGTTTCCCCCCCTTTCCCCCCCCGGAAAGCCTTTGGGAACCCCACAAAGGGGGAAAAAATGGCTTTTTTTTTTCCTTTAAAAAAAGGTTTTTTTCCCCAAAAAATTGTTTCGGGTCTTGGCTTTGGGGACCTTTTAGGGGCCGAAAGGTTCCCCTGGTGAAGGCCCCATTGGGGGGAAAAAATGGGGGGCGGGGAAGGGGCTTTTTTCCAGGGGAAAATCCGGGCCCTGGGGGGGGGGA